ACGAGCGATTGGGTCATTTATTGATTTGGTGGTCTTAAAACCTATCTGACATACGGATCCTTCCACCACCCCCAGCAACTAGACTACATTTGGTGAATAGGACAGAGAATTATGTCCATGTATACCAGCTCTTCCCAGAAGCCTGGGATTTTTAGGTTTTAGACCTGTGGCTAAGCCTTCCCTTTGGTGGGTATACTACAGGAAGGAAAAAACAGAAATAATTTAATCTCCTGAAGATGCCGTGATCAACCAGATAATCTCTTGAGACTCTTCCTCTTTCAATTTTATTTTAATCGTAGGATCCATATCTGGTTGACATGAGGTTTTATTGGAAACACATCAATAGGACCAAAGTGATCTCTTTATGTCTTTAGCTTTCTCTTTTCTCTGGTCCATTCCCTCATGGGCCCTGAGAGAAAGATCCATTCTGTCTGCTTCTGTGGAGATGGCTTAGAGGTTCTCCCTTGACTCTGGGTTTCTTAAAGCCTCAGTGTGGTTTACTTCCCAGTTCCCTGAGTTTCCAGAGTCAAGGATAGGCTCCAGAAAGCCGCCGCCCTCTTCCCTGTCCTTTCTGTCTGTACCCTTTAGGTTTTTCACACCTTAGCCACTGCATGAAGTGCTAAGCAGTCCAGATTTCAGCCTGTCCAGTAGATTTCCTCATCACGAAACTGCCCAGCAACTCCTTGATGCTTATCAAGTTCATTGCAAGTCCTTGCATACGGTTTTAAATTCTACAAGTCCTCATCCTCAGCTATGTGCAGACTCATCTCCTCAGTCCCTTTAATTAATTCTTTTCAAGGCAAAATACTTGCCATTTCTAGAAGATTCTGTGAATCTGTCTGTATCTCCTTTCACTGTCTCACATCCTCCCATTTTATGTTCCCTGGGACTTATTGTAAGTTTAGAAACTGTCTTTTCCTGGTAAGAGTTTAACTTCATTAATGATGATTAGCAAATGGTGTTCAGGAACCATCCTGAAGCAATGTATCAGTGAACTTCAACTTGAAACATTTCTTCTAAGATGACATTTCTTTTTAAAATTTTTTGAAGGTTGAATGATAGGAACAGCACCTGTCTTATTCATACTTTAATGATGGAAAAATCATTTATTAAATTATTTTGGTCTTTCAGTATTCAGGAGTGCAGCTTGTCTATAGTGAGACTGTGACTATACATCATGATTATGTAACCTTTTTGAACAAACCTATATTTTTGGAAGGGGATGATTAAGAAGGAGCATAGAAAACTGAATTCAAATACAGAATGTGGTTATAATATTTTGATTTGCTAAAACCCTGCCCCCATTTTCACCTCAGTGTTCCTATGTTTTTTTCAAGACCCAAAGCTCTCCTTATCAAGAAATTTCCCTTATATCCTGCAAGATTCAGTCTTTGGGAACCCTGTAGTACTCCCCAACACACACACACACACACACACACACACACACACACACACACACACACCACACACCACACACATCACACTATTTTATACACATTTCATACCAGGAAGAGTGGTCACAGTGCCTAAGGAAATACTTACTCCAGGACTTTCCCAATCTAGTGTAGAAGAGAAACTATTGCACACTTAGCATGTTGGACATTCTAGCATTACAGGGCGGGGTTTTTTGAGATAGGGTTTCTCTCACAGAGATCTGCCTGCCTCTGCCCCCCAAGTGCTGGGATTAAAGGAATGCACCACCACCGCCCAGCTCATCACACTGTCTTTATTCCACTTAAAATATTGTGAAGTACTGTGGCAGACTGAGGACTCTAGCCTGAAATTCAAGAGTTGTCCTTCCAGGGCAGGGAATTGCTTGGTAGATGAGATGTGGAAGGGAAAGGATCTAAGGTAGGCTGAGACATGGGGATGTCCATCAGGGATGCATGGAGGAGGTCAGAAATGAGACTACAAGAGTACATGGAAGACAGAAGGAGTTTTCAAACCAGGACAAGAAGTTGAGACTATCTAATATTTGAAAGAGAGTCAACTGAGGTATTGTAAACACCAAGTAATCTTGAAACATAGATTAAAGGAAATGGTTTGGTTTATAGCTCTATGTTAGAACATTTGCTTACCATGTGCTACGCACTAGGTTCAGTGTTCAGCATTGCAAAGAAACAAGCTAGCAGCTAACTAGTGGACTAACTAGCTGATTAACTCATTACTTAATTACTCATTTACTCATTACTTGAACAGCTAGCTAAATAATTTTGCTTATATAATGAAGGATAATGGTCTGTGGGAAGGATTGAACTTGGAGATAAGCATTAGGCTATATCAATAGGTCTGGATGTATTAAATTTCCTTTAAGATATTTTACACCCTATTCTTCAAAACTCTGAGATATCAGAGCCTATACTTGCCATGTTAACAGAGCTTCCTAAGTTTTGCCTCAATTGGATTCTTACAGGAAGGACCAAGAAGGCTTCCTAGCAAAGACCACCTGCAACACCAAAGAATTCAGGAAGTTGTGCTTACTGCATGACTTCCTGGTGGTACCAAGTCTTTCCACTTCTTAGATGCATTGGAAGATAGGGCATTAGCAAGCTTTTAAACGCGTGGCAATGTGTCTTTGAGGTCATGATCATCATAGGCCTTTCTTAGGTTCTATCATGAGCTTATACTTTATGTGCTGCAGAACCACGTATATTGCCTCACTCAATATCTTCAGTAAGGGTTGAGGGGTGTCAGGTCTGTTTTAGAGATATCCTCAGGTCCCAACAACTACCACATTAGATCATACAGTGGATGAGGTTAGCCCTGTTCATGGGAATCACCGCCCCCACCATTCCTCTTTCAAAGAATCTTACTTTTGCAGTTACCTCTCCCTGGAATGTTTTTCTGCCAGGATATTCACAAAATTGACCTTTTTAGGTCTTAAATTAAATGTCACCTCCCTCAAGAAGCCTTTCTTTATCATGCCATCTCTTGTTACATATATTTGTCTGTTACTTCTTTACCCTATCTTCTGGATGCTAAAGATCAAACCCAGGAACCCATGCATGCTAGGCAGCAACTAACCTATAACCCCAGCCTGGCTTACTTCCTTTAAAGTTTATTGCCACCTGAGATCATGCACTTACTTATTTTCTGTCTCTCAATCTAGAATATTAATTTGGTGAGATCAAATACTTTGTCACCAACACTTTTGACTTAGATATCCAAGGATACTGAAAACAATTTCTGAAAATATAATTTTGTGCATACTCAACAAATAATTATCTAGTGCATCAGAGGATAAATGGGTGCATAAATGTCTCCAGAGCCCAGCCTGTTTCTGGCCCCCTCCTTTCTTCATATTTTCTTTTTGCTGCCTGGTACACAGTAATACAAACCACTGAACCTGGGCTTCAGGCTGACTCTTTAAAACCAGATGTTTTCTTTCTTGGTGATAGAGATAGTTTGCTTTGGGATCTAACCTCAGATACAGTACTTAGGATGCATGATTTTTTTAAGCTTCATTCCTTTAAAAGCTGTCTTTACATTTGTGTCTTTTCTTATATATTCATATCAGCTAATTTTTAAAACATAACAAACACTGGAATTCGCATAAAAGAGACATTGTTCCTGGCCTTTTTCTGTTTTCCTGTGTTTAAAAGCATCAGTCATTTAAATCGTCCGTTTGACCAATTAGTGAGTCTGTATTATCTCTTCGAACAATGCACCAGTCCTGAGACACTAAGTTCTTTCAGTCTTTTCTCAAACCACATTTTTTTATGTCGGGTTCACAATGACTTTCCTGGTACCTTGGCAGAATCTTGTCAGTAGTCGCTTACTCCCTCTCCCATTCACAAGTCTAGAAAAAGCGTACGGGGAAGTGTCTAAGTTAGAGAAAGTGGCCTGTGAAGGAGTTTTAAAGATTTTTCTTGGTGTTTTGTGATGGGATGTGCCCTTACCTCAGCTAACTAATTTTACTGAAAGCTTTGATTGCACTTATATGATTCAAAACAATAGAGGGGGAAAAAATTCAGAGGCAACCTGCCCTTCACCTTGATCTCTACATTCTCCAGGGCAACATGGTGCAATGGAAGGAACAGAATAGCTTGGAGAGCAGAATTTTAAGGCATTCTAAGCATCAATGGTTGGTTTAATAAAATTAATTAGCCTGCCACAGAGAAAATTTACTAGCACGCTGGTTAATTTCACAATGTAAAGTCGGGGAGGGGAGGTAGGGCTGAGGGGGCAAACCTTATTAGTTTTGAATAATTATTTAAAGATGTGGACCCTGCCAATTTCAAACACTTTGATAGCCAATTCCATTAAAGCTTTAAAAATCTGTTGCATGTGTATCCTAACATATACGGGAAGAAACCTCGACAGATGAAATCATAAGCATATTAGCTAACAGCAAAGTGACTCATTTAAGATACAGAACCAAAGGCAGAATTCTAATAAAAACATGGGAACAAAACCTTACCTTGATACTGGCTCATGGGAGGTTTCTATTATCTTAATTTGCTATTGATGCAACGATTATTCTTTCTTGTCTTTTTAATCCAAACAAGATGTTTGCGGTGGCCACAGAAAGGTGCCTGAAATCACATGCCTGAATTCATTTAATTTGCCAACATCGTCCTTTTTTTCTTCTCTTTCCCTTCCTGGTAATGGGCAAGAGTCAATTCTTCTGCATTAAGTGCTAAATCTCTTCAATTACCAGCCGGGGAGAAAGATTTAAAATTGTGCTTCAAACCTCCAAACTGATTTAGCTTTAAAGCACAAACACTTCTCCTGTGGAGCCTAAATTAAACTACTGAAAGGACTCAAAGGCCAAAGAATTAAATAAGGCAGGGCCAACACTCAGGCCAGCCATAGGGACAATTTTGGGTTTGCTCTCAAATGAACCCCTGTGGTATGAAAGGAAGGGGAACAGAAACAAACTGATAGGCAGATCCCATGTAAGAGGTGCAGGCCTATATTGTGGGGAAGCTGGGCCTGGGGTGAACATTGGTTTGGGATCAAGTCAAAGCCTTATCCCTTTTTCTCTTTTCTTTTGACAGCCATATTTAATGTGGATGACTCTGTGGTTGACCTGGAGACCCTGGCAGCATTATATGAAAATGTGAGTGTCAAAGGCATGCAGAGCTGGAGTTTTCATCTTTATGCGTACCTTAAACATCACTAAGCCATTCATGCTCTTTGGCAGTAAGGACCTGAACACAACATGGAAGAGATCCAGACACAGAGATGCAAATTTCTTCTTGAGGGAGCGTGTTCTTAACTCCCACTGTAGTGTCTGTACTAGTAGATCCCACTGCCACCCGCAAAGAGACCACAGATATGCCCTAGAGCCCAGCCCTAGTGGAAGTGAGCCTCCTACTTAATGCTGGCACACTCCAGTGTCTTACTCCGAGGAATAGGAATCCGAATATCCACTTGGATGGTTACTCAAATACCAGATGAGCTGGTGACATTAAATGCAGAAGACAGCATTGGATGGCAATTGCGTGGTCTAGCTTTAACATCAGACAGTCCTAAGCTTGGGCCCAGAGCTATCACTGCCTACTAGGTGATCTTGGTTGGGCCAGTTGTTTAAACAGCTTAGTCCTGTTTTGTTTTGTTTTTATAGCACAATTCAGATTGTATTGGGACTCTACATAATTTTTTTTCTATTGAACAAGAATTTGATTAAGTAGCCTGTGAGTTCTTCTCATGGAGCCCAGAACACATCCCACAAAGTTGAGTCGCAAAGCTTAGGAACATCTTGAGTCATGTGTAAGAAACATCACTGTAATGCACAGTCTTTGTAAGTGGAAATAGTGAGCAGAATCCATAGGCTCCTATGAGGAGATGATGCTGTAGATTCAGAAGTCCCATGATTGCCAACTGTTCTATTCATTGACTGTCAGGGTGCAGAAACATAGATGGGGCTGAACTCTCTAAGCCATGGCAATTCTTAGGTAACTGTGTGGGGCCCTGTGACATGCTGCAGTCCCTCAGCTCACAGGATGATTGAGCATAACAGTTACACTCTTTGGTACCTTGAATCTCCATAGTCTATGATAGCCCAGTGAGCTCACCAATTTCCTACATATTCTTCATGCATGTGAGAAATTATTTAGTACCAAGTGGGAGCATTTTACATGTTTCTATCAGTATAGTTCTCTTGAATAGACCCAAAAGCTCACAAATATCAGATCATTGGGAGTTAGCGGTGCCTGGAGAGCAATGCGAGGATTCTGAATCCAAAGTTCATTACTAGTAGATTAATGCAAGCCTTGGGTAGTTATCCTAAAAAAATGAGGATATGGTAATTGATGGCAAAGAACTCTATCAAGCAAGGTGCCTTCCTGATGCTTTCTGTTGTTACCATGGTTTCAAGAGTATGCATGTGGCCAGTAGAGGAAGTCTGCACATGACTGGAAACATTATGTTATTAAATGCCTAAATAAGTGGTGTGAGCAACACATACTTATAAAATTCAGGACAAGAGAAAGTGGAGTCTACAAATAATAGAGTGGGAAATCCATGTGCGATAAGACTGCTATTCTGGGGAAAAGAAAGCTAAGTACAGCTTGCCCTGTAGCTGCCTACAGGAGGCTCAAGCTGTCCACCGTCTTGACCTGTGTGTCTGGATGTGTGCACTTGTCATGGCCATTTGCTTTAGCTAGTAACTGCCAAACTTGAATATGTATCAGGATGACCTGAAAGGGTTTTTCCGGGCCCAACTTGTAGAGTTTCTTATGCTTGGGGTGAGGCCCAAGTGATGCCAGTACTATGGGGTGTGGGGTCACAAATGGTCTTAGGCTGATTTGTTTGACTTTGTGTGTGTGTGTGTGTGTGTGTGTGTATGTGTGTGTGTGTGTGTTGTTTGCTTCTTTTCTACTCTCTATACAGCGAGCCCAAGAGGATGAACTGACTAAAATAAGAAAGTACTATGAGACATCCAAAGAAGAGGATGTGAAGCTGCTGGACAAACCTGAACAGTAAGGACCCTTGAACTGCCTTTGGTTAGTTTGAAAGGAAAGCTGCAAACCCCATCTATCTGCCTCCCAGCTATGAATGTCAAGTCTAAATGGTGCAGAGAACTGTGTTACAACAGCGTCATTCTGTGCCCTATTGCCTCCAGCAGGATGACTCGGCTGCCGGGAAGGCTGCTGAGATCTGTGCTGTTGGGTGCAGTGTGTCTCTCCCCCTGCTCTCACCCCATGCCACTCCTCTTTTTTGTTCTAGCAACTTAATTCCTCCTAGACTAAACATTTTAGCCAAAGGGTAACTGAGGAAGGAAGAAGTCGTTACTACTCTGCCTCAAGTTTTGCTGATGTTTTAAAAAGATGATAGCAGAGTTACCGAATTCAAACTGGTTTTCTTAAATGTCATGCTCAGTAAATGTAGCCCGAATGTGGCAGGTTTCCCACAAACATCCCTGCTTGTGCTGATTAGGCTAGGTCCTTCTTCTCCCCCATCTGTGTGGCTTGCTCTCTTTCCACTGATTCTCAGGGTGTTCAGCTCTGGTCTGCAGTATCATTTCCCATGCATTAAGAACTCGGACCTCTGCTGCATACCTAAGTGGCTTCTTGTTGGCTAGACCCTTGAGGTCTGCAAGCCACAGATGAGTTCCTGGGCATCCCCAGCAAGGTATTTAGGGAGTAAGACTGCAAACGTGCAGTTGGTTTGGGACTCTTGGGCCTGTTGCTACTTTGAGTGCTTTATGTTCCATTCAAGTCAACCTTCTGCAAATAGGGAGAGGCAGCTACAGAAAGCTAAAAGGAAATAGAAATTAGATTGAGTGCAACATGCTGTGCTTACAGGCATCCAAGGTTCTGTATTATACTCTATACCTTATGTTTGCATGCCTCAGTTCTCATAGACAGTCAGACCCAGAAGTCAGCATCCCTAAATGACTGAGATCCTAGGTTTACTCAAAATATTGTCAAACTTTGCTAATAATTTATGAACCTTAGATGGGATCCTCTCACATGGATCTATAGCCCAGACTCCTGTCCCTTAAACCTGGTCCACAAAACCTAAGAATGTGTATAGATCAGTTCGGATGGGATTCCACCGCCCTTTTGTCTCATTAACATCAGCCATCAGACTCACCACCTCCACCACAGTCAATGCTACTCACATAGAAGTCAGGTTTACCTACTGTGAATTAACTCCAGTTACATCCCTAATGTGTGTAACTAGTGATGAGATATGTAGACACTGACACAGCCACTAGTGGTATTTGGAGATGATAGGGCATATCAAACATTTGGGCAGGATTAGTATGCCCAATATGCAGTGAAACTGTAAGCCTGGCATTGGTAAACTTTGCCTGTAAAACACTAGATAATATTTTAAACTTTGTGGGTTCAAGGATCTCTCATGGCTCTTCAAGTTGGCCATTACATTGTTATGGTTCAAAAGCAACCATAGATAATAATATGTAAGCAATGGCTTACAGCTGGACCTTAATTTTATTTAGAATTGCCAAGATTTGAATTTTGTATTATTTTACAGGACAAAAATCCTTCTATGCTTTTTACAATCATTTAGTATAAAAACCATTTAGTTTCACAAGTCACACAAATAGAAATGGCTGGTTGGTTTGGTCCATTAGCTCTAATTTGTGCACACTCAACCCACTTAGTAAAACCTGCTGCAAGCTGAGGGGATGGGACACAATGAACCACTGATGTGAAATGAACAGTGTGCGTCTGCCAAGAGAGGCATTCCTCTGCCTTTTGTGGTTTAACCTCCCAACATCATTTCTCAGCACTAATTGCCAGGGCATAGACTAATGGTGGCAACTAATTAGCACACTACTTATTATCCCCCCCACCGCCACCACCCATGATCTAGCTAGGTAAGCATTTTCAAAGTTTGGAGGGCCATTGTGCTGACTCCCTGAACACTCACCACTATTACTGGAGGCAACGATGCCTGTCATGTCAGCTGCTCAGGTGGCAGACAAGGCTCAGGGACTGGCATGGAGAGATAGATTTAAGCAGACCTGAGCAGACTTCACCTTTGCTCTTTGTGTCTCTGAAGGCAGCTTTTGTCTGCTCTGTGCCAGAGTCTGGTTCTCTGGTGGTTTATTTGCCACTTATTCACAAAGAGTAGACTATAAGCGTGTTTTACATACTGGGAAATATGAATCATTGAGTTTAGCATTTCGGTTTCTTAAGAGTCGTGTGGTGCCCAGTCCTATAAATCACAACATGGAGAGGCTGGCCTCATCACTCACCTCATCAACTCGCTTACACCCCAATGCCAGATTTAGAAAGCCGTTTCTCGCAGAGGTGTCATCTGCTTGGGACCTAGCTTTCTGAGAGCCACTCCCTCCAGGGATGTCCCTTGACTCCCTTTAATCCTGCTTTGAGATGTTGGTGCGGGAGGGTGTGGCACCCCTGGTTATACCTATTGACTGATTGGGCCCAAAGCTGGCAAGGAGGATATTGTACACATCATATTAGGACCTTTCACAGGGATCCACAGCTAGCTATAGTGTTTTCCTTCCCGGAATATAGGCTATATTGTGAAATAATACCATGGATTCGACCCCTGTTGAACACATACTTAGATAATACCATGATGATAGATCACATTGGTCTCTTTTCAAAGGCTGTATTATATAGTATCTTCCCACCTGTCAGCTGATTTGTCACTATGGCTGTAAAATCCACACAAAGTGAGCCACAGGCCTTCTGTTACATAGGCTGAGTTGTAGTCCTTTCTCGGGAGATAAACCACACTGTGTAAGGATAGAATACTTCCTCGTTTGCATGTCTGTACTTTTTGTTATGGAATCTAGCTCAAATGGAAATTAGTCCATGGATATTTATAAATATGAAAGCCTGCTATTCAAGATACTGTGTGTGCAGGCCTATAATACCTATGGATAGAATATAAAACATAAGGGTTCAGGGGGCAGAGTTCATCAGACACTTAATTGGCATGGCCTTTGAGATGACCTTTCCTTCTGGCAGACAAATGAGAAAAAGAGCTATGGTGCCTTTCCGTGAGTCTTTGCCTGGTTATGTTTTGCTGAAAGTTGCATGAAATCATGTGTTTTCTTTTCTGATTTTACTTCTTTGGTGTTTTATATCTTTAAATTTTACTAAATGTTTCCAAGCCCAAAACTTACAAGTCATCTTGGCCTCTTCCTGCATCACCAGGAATCAGCCACTCAGGGTCTTCCAGAATCAGCAGGGTCTTCCAGCATCAACAGGGTCTTCCAGTATCATCAGTGTCTCCCAGCATCACTCAGGGTCTTCCTGCATCACCAGGAATCAGCCACTCAGGGTCTTCCTGCTCCACAGCCCTCTTATCCACTTGTGTTTCTCCATCACCACAGGCCCTCTTGTCTTTCTCTTTCAAGGTCATTCCCATTTCTCCTAACCTGAAATCTGCTAATGCTTCCAGGGAGTCACGCCACTGCTATGGTGATTGTGTGAAATAAGATATTAAAAGTATTAGATCCCTGTCACAGACCCTCCATTTGTTCAGAAAAGGTACATTTCAGAATACAAAACTCCATGTACTTTCACCCAGTTTCCTTCCAGACACCATCCAACCTGTCTCGACTCGCTTCCCTGGTCCTCAGGCTTGTCATTCACAGCATCATGGGGGCTCAGTGACCACAGCCAATGTTGCTTCCCTAAACCTCATGTCACTGACTACATCGTTTCCACACTTCAGTCATCATGGGTGTGTTTATTGCAGCATCAAAAAGGAACCATCTATAAACTAGATCCTATTCTCAGGCCCTATGCACCTGTAAAGGTGTCACATACACCTGAAAAACTGAGTAACCTTGGCCAATGCACTAAAACTCATTAGCATTGATAGGTTCTATACAGAAGCAAGCCCCTCCATCTGCCATTCCCTCCCAACTGCTTGAGACCTGGGGTCTTAAGACGCTTTGAGAACCTCCCCAGAGCAAGTCCTGATCCTAGTAAGTTTTGAATCTTAGCCAGCCTTGTTGTTTCACTCTTTCCTTTGTTGAGGAGCCTCTAGTCTTGTTTCCACAAATGGGTCCTATGGCTCCTGTAAGGGACAATTAGTTGTTTTTCCTCTGACATTCCCTGCTTGCCATCCATGTCCTGGTGAGTGAACTGAGGCATTGCTCTGTTTTCTCTTGCATGTGCTATCTATGGCTACTTCACTACTGTGCTCATTTTAAACAGGGCATCTACCTAGTCCAGAGATCAAGGTCCTACATGGGGTGTGAAGAGATGACATGGTCACTTTAGGAAGGGGGGAAATGCAGGGCATTTTCTGGAATAGCTCTCAGAATCTTCCCAAATCCTTCCCAAAACTCATCACAGAACTAAATGCTGCCAGTCCCCAGAGATGTTTACTGCGTACTGTGAAAACTGGCAACAGCTCTAATGTCACTCATGATAAATTACTCTGGTCAATGCTTCACTGTACTTATGAGGGGACAATTTGGAAAGGAAGGGTCATTACTTTCTTCCTGTTCCTAGGCAATACTTCTGTATTCTGTTAAATGCTATAGTATGGAGTCTGATGATTACTGTGGCTGCAGGCATAGGACCTGAAGATAAGGGACTGTTTCCTATTTTGAGTCCTCCATGCTCCATTTCCATAGTATTTGAAAAGGCTGATGAGGGGAGAAAATGACAACTAGGACTTGGTTGGAAGAAATAAGAAAAATAGCTGATAATAAAAATGTATTAAATCCCAACTCTTACCAGGGCATAGTGTTATAAAACTATTCTCCCACCCTTGGGAAGCTGAGATGAGGGATTGAAATTTTAAGGCAGCCTAAACTATAAGAAATATCAGTTAATAATCATTTCAAACTCCCAAATGAAATTAAGAGCTGCTAGTAGATTCTGCCCCTTTCTGAGTTCATAGCCAACTGTTTAAACTCATATTAGTTTGTATCCTTTCCTCTGGTGGTTGGCCTCAAAAGCATGTAGATTTTCCAACTTCATTTTGCAGAGGGCACCAGTGCCCAGTCACTCAGACAGAGAGCTACTGTGTGTAGAGCAGTAACCAACTTGACTCTTTAGAGCTATTTGGCAGACTTTTTAAAGATTGTTAGGGTGTCTACTTTATGAGTTTCTGCTTTCTTCTAAGTACTGAGCTATACCTAGGTGGGTAAATTGACACAAAGGGAAAACAAATATGTGGGAAATTTGACCAGTGTAGGCTGTTATATAACTGAGCAAAAGTAATAGCAATCTCACTTCAATAGTACCTTATCAGTTGACTATAGACATCTGGGCAAAGTCTTCAGTTTGCTCTGCCTATGTTGACGTACTTTTAGAGAATTATATGTGGCACAGGAGTTGATTTTTGTCATTTTCTCATGCAGTAAAGATGAGGGCTTTCCATTTGGGTTTAGCCTCTTGTTTGAGTAGAGGGAGTTGAAAGAGATAATGTTTTCAGAATACTTGCATAAACTTTCTACCAGTCTACATTATTCACCATCATATGAACACAGACAGAGAGGCCCTGTCAACAATGGAGCAGATACCCTTGGAGTTCTTTGAATCGGCCCATCTGATCCCCTTTATAAACCAAAATTGTGATGTAAGGAATGCCCCCCCCTCCGGTCCATCTGTACCAGCCCTCTTTCTTAAATGACTTGTTTTTATTTTTACAGATTTCTGCATGAGTTAGCCCAGATTCCCAATTTTGCTGAGCGTGCCCAATGCATAATCTTCAGGGCTGTGTTTTCCGAGGGTGTCACTTCCTTACACAGAAAAGTAGAGATTGTCACACGAGCCTCTAAGGTATGTTTGCCATTTAACTTAAGGTCTGCTTTGCCCTTATTGAGAGTAAATTAAGGAAAGAAGACATGAGAAAGACCCAACATTGGTGACATAGGATAAAAATCATCTGTACTTTACATTGACTGTTAAAAGGAAATGTGGCATTTGTCCTGTCCAAGTATGTGGAGGGTAGGGAAGAAAGAAAGAAAAGGGGAGGTATGAGCTTAAGAAGAGAGGGAAGGTGGGAACATAATGCTTTCTACAGATTCTAAGAAAATTTGTTAAAGCCTCACTGTGTATTTACCAGCCACCAAAAGCTAAAATCAAAACAGAATAGTTAAATCCCTATTCTGCTCTTCAAATCACAGAGATTGTACTTAAAGCCCATGCAGGCGACCATGTAAAATCTGTCTACATCATAAAATGAAGAGACTCCGGAGACTTGGAGTAAATAACTGTGATCGTGAGTGACCGGTACACACATTCTGTGTCCACCACACTTTGTAAACAACTCACTTCTAACCCCCGGCCCTTTCACTTCCACCCGTGTTCTTAAGAACACGATACAAGTGTGTGCCACACATTCTGTAATACTTCACTGCCTGCCAGGAGGCATGCTCTTCCCTCTCTGACATATAAGAGATTTTTCCAATGAAGAAAGAAGAACTATTACCAACATGTGATATACATACTGGTAACACCTGAGAGACCAGGGCAGATGCCTACCTAGGTTTAAACTTCATTTTTCCTTTTATCCTAAAGTGAAAGAAGATAAAGCTAGGCTGTCAAGATAGCTCAGTGGGCAAAGGTACCTGCCACCTAAGCTGGTGGCAAAGTTATAAAAATGAGGGCTGAACCTTTGCGTTTATTTTTCACTTTAGGTAGCTTTAATCTTGCTATTTTAAAATACTTATAACTTTGTGGTGTAAGTGGGAAACGGTGGGTGCTCCCCACCCCCTCAGATGCTGCTTAGTGAAATGTGAAATGTGTTGCCAGCTGTTGATAGCACTGGTTACAATTCATTACTGAGTAAGCATGGCTGTGTTGGGAGTCAGGGCCTTGATAACCTGTGTTTCCCATTGCAGGGCTTGCTGCACATGAAGAGTGTGAAGGACATCTTAGCTCTCATTCTGGCTTTTGGAAATTACATGAATGGAGGAAACAGGACTCGAGGGCAAGCAGATGGATATAGTTTAGAAATTCTACCCAAACTCAAAGACGTCAAAAGTCGGGTATCTATTTACTTTTCGTCCTATCTGGTTATTTTTCTTATGAACCTTTAATTTAAAACCAAGCACTACGGACTGATCCATTTACCTAGTCTTTTCTCTAATAGTAGTCGTTTGTGTGAAAGCATGCGGTTTTTGTTTTCCCTCCTGTGCTTTGTTTTGACTTTGGGCATGGTCATTTTTTTTAGACCTCATTTTAAGTGATAAAATGCATCTTATGTTTTGGCTTTAATATACATGATCAGATATTGAGCTACTACTGCAATACAAGATAAAACAGTGTACTGTACTAGTCATAGTGCAGAGACTAAAGTCTATCTGAATTTAGCATTGACCACTTGTAATTTACTCATTCTTGAGTGGGAGACACTGTCAAGCCTAGTGTTTGAATTATTCTTTTGCCCATAACAATTGGGGCTGGGGTCTCCTGTCAACTCCCTGAGCCTGATTATCATTTGGCTCCGCACCCCTGCAGAGCCACCTTTTGAGAAACAACCAGCCCATATCTGGGCGTCCCATGGGGGCAGGGGAGAGCAGGGAAGGGAAATACACAGGCAAATTAGAATTAGACCCCTGTGAACAGGACACAAAGGCTGCCTTGTGGGAGGGCCCGCTCCCCCTGGCCTTCCAGGGTCATAAAGTGGCATGGCTTTCCTTTTAAACTGGCCCTGATTGTTTTTCACGCCATTAAGAGCACACATTTTCTGAGAAGTAGAAAGGAGGGATGGTTTTCTCCTCTAGTCCACAGCTCCCTTTAGCATTTCCCACTCCCTCCTGTCTTGGCAACGTGCCAGGAAATACTGGGTAACTTTTGTTTGTTTGTTTGTATATTTGTCGTAACCCTTACCTCAAAGGCCTCCTGGGTTACCTGTTTTGTTTGAGTTATCCTCCCACAAACAAAAACAAAAACCAAAAAAATGGTGTAGTGTCATTTCTTTTTATAGCTGGCATTTTTTTAAAAAATGGATGAAACTTGGAGGAAGAAGGAAAATCTGGTCGTTATGTAACAGAAAGAGGCCTCAGTCTCACAAATGATAAGTGAGTTGGGTTTTCAGTGCTTACCTGGGACGCAGGTAGGGTCTCCTGTGAACTGCTGTCATTTGGGCTCTCTTTTAAACCTAGGACAATGGGATGAACCTGGTGGACTATGTCGTGAAGTATTATCTGCGGTACTATGATCAGGTAGGAAACAAGAAAACGGCCCTGGGGAAATGGTTTCAACTATATGAAATCGTTAGTATTCAGAAACTAGATACTGGCTATATGGAGCAATGGCTTTTCTCCAGTCCAACTCTGTATCTGAAAGCTTCCCAGTGAAGACAAAAGGAAGTGTTGGAAAGACATGAGGCTGCCAAGTCTCAGTCTACCAGCTTCAGATACATCCCTCACTGCCTCATGACGAGACTATGGGGTTTTCGGAACTCTAGATTCATTCAGGAGCTGGTTTAAGTTGAAACTGAATTCTGAGATACTGATCAACATCGAGGAAATCAAAGCACAGTAATCTTCTTCATTTTTAAAGACATTTAGTTATTTATTCATATTTTATGTGTATGTGTGCTTGCCCGTGTGAGTTTATATGTGCCACGTGTGTGCAGGAGCCTGCATAGTTCAGAAGAGGTATGAGATCCCCTGTAACTGGAGTTACAATAATTGTGAGTGGCTACACTGATGCTGGGAATGAAACCTGGGTGCTCTAAAAGGGCAGTGAGCTCTTAACTGCTGGGCTAGCCCTGCAGCCTAGTTAATGTATGTGTTAGTTTGTTTGGTAGACAAGGTATCCCGGGCTGGCCTGAAACTCACTGTGTAGACCAGACTGGACTTGAACTCACTCTGCCTGCCTCTGCCTCTGCCTCCTGGGTGCTAGAAGTAAAGCCCTGTGTACCACACCTACCTTAATAACTGAAATTCGATCAACAATACATCTGGGAACAAGTTAGAGGCTTTAAATTTGAGAACAAAGTAAAACAAGAATAGGCTCTCTGATTAGCATATATTTGAATTAGAATTAAGCACTTCTTTGAGAATAAACCTGAGCACAATGTTCTTTATTCCTTCTTTTTGAACTAAGAACTGAGAGTCTTCACTCTGAGAAGGGAGGACTATTTGTTGGTTATTAAAATTGATACAAAAACCTCAAAGTTAAGAGGACTCCCCCCTAAAGGGGTCAAGACTCATAGGTTGAGAACTATTGCTTAAGGCTATCTCACAGTCTGTTATGTGTGGTTCCAAAACGGATCCCTGCTTCAAGTGAATCAAGACCCAGGACTCTGATGTTCACCCAGATTGGAGCTATCTATGTCTCAAGCCCCACACCTTTGTAAAGAAAGATTTATTTATTTTTATTTTATGTGGTTTGCTTGCCTGGTGGAGGCCAGCAAATGGTACTGGCATTGGATCCTCTAGATCTAGAGTTACAGGATATTATGGGCTGCTGTATGTGTGTTGGCAAATGAATTCAGGTCCTCTGCTAAAGGACCTGAGCAAATGCTCTTAACCGTGGGGCCATCCCTCAAGCCTCCTGTCTCAAGTCTTCTTGTAAAATTTCAATTTTCTGTTATTATTCCTCTCAAGAAATAACATATTTGGGGGTCTTAGGGAGAAAATTCCCCATGACATTACTAACATGTATTGTGAACTTATTCAGGCGAATGCATACTCTTATAAAGAAATTACATGATTTCACACTACCGATCAACAGGTATGCCAAAAAATGTTCAACATCCCTCATCAGTAGTCACAGCCAGGGTGAGACATCCCAACACACCCATTAGGATGATCACTATAGTAAAAGAGGTTAGGACTACTTACAACCTTTCAATAAGGTTTCTGAGAATGTCAAATGGTGCAGGTGCACCATTATTGAGAAAAACCGCAAGGAATTAAAAATAAAACTAAATCATGGTCCAGCAATCCTATGGGAAATACCTTTTCTTAATTCATACATATGTGCCAAATGAGCTAACAAGATTTCAGCCTTCCTATATCCAAAGCTCTAGAAATGTAAGTTTTCTAGGAATTTATAACTGAAGACTTTTGTTACTGTTCTGCTTATGATAATTAATAATAGCAAAAGACTTAAATTTTTTGTACATATCCAGTGATTAACAATATAGTCAAATGAGTCATGTTAGAATTATCAAATGGAATAACATACTTAGCACACCACTGTGAAAGGTGTTTAGGCCACAGTGTAGTGGCCCTGGAAAAGATTCTGTCTGCTTTTAAATTATATACAGGTATAAATCAGGGTGTGATGGCACACACCTTTAATCCCATCAGGGAGGCAGAGGCAGACAGATCTCTTCGTTCAAGGCCAGTTTGTCTACAGAGCAAGATCCAGAATAGCCAGGACTAGACAGAGAAACCCTGTCTCAAAAAAACAAGAAGAGCTATATGCATGTGTTTTGAAATTATACATACAATGCATACATACATACATACATCTTTAAAATAGGCTGATGTAAATGTAACACTAACTCTGTGAAAACTTGGGACGATATATAGTAATATATTTCATTATTTGGGGATATTTGGGATATGATTCTTTTTTAACTTTGAGCCACTGTGCATAATTGATGTGCATCTGTAAAAGTGAAAACTGTAATAAAACAATCACTCAACCCAGCATTTCCTGGCCTGCCTTACATAAGTATTTTCTCACACTCTGATCCTCAAAGGAAACCTTCGAAGCTCTCACCTTGGAAGCCTGGATGAAGATTCTGTGGCGGTCTCCAACAATCTCTATTGCTTCTTCTGTGGGTGGTGTACAAGTTGTCAGTCATCTTGACATTGCTCCTTGAGAGCCAGAATTCACTGTTAACTAGTGTCTACCAGGGAGATGTCCAATGGGCATCAGCCACGTTATGTAACATAAATATCACCAAAAGTGGAATAAATTGACAGGTGTAAAGAACTAGATGTGAGAAAATAGTTTTGTTTTTCTGGAATGAGGAAGTTGTGTTGAGCTTCACAAAACTTAGCAGCTGCAGGCACATCTGAACATGCTCCAAGTTCTGACAGTAAGCACCCACAGGGCAGAATTACCCTGAGGAATCTTGGCAGGTAACCTTTGTAACCCTAGATCTGGAAGGGCGGTCAACTATTCCATAGAAAGGCTGAAATTAGTCCATAGAATGTGGTTGTTGGTGAGAGCAGGATGCTATGGAATTGACTTTGTGGGGGGAAATGTGATCAGAATAGTTGCACATATGGAATGAGCCTCATCCACATTTGTGTAGTGACCTCTCCCCGACTGCCCCATGTTCACTGAAGAACACATTGCACTCAATTTGGAGTTGTGGGATTTATGAAGCTTCTTGCCCTTGGGCAGAAGTCAGTGATGATAAGCAGTGACCTGAGGAAATGGAAGTCCTTTTAGCTTCCTGGTCCTTCTACCTGGAGTTGGGTCCAAATCTAGGCTTTTGGAGGTTGAATAAAATCATGCAGAGACAATTTGTCAACTCCCAGGGCTTTGACACCAGCAGTGTCTCTTTTTCTACCTTATGAAATAAATTGAAGCCATGGAAGAGTTGGACACAAAGCTTACAAAGTATTATACCAGAATTTTTCTAGTGTGGGTCCCCGTGGGACTTCACAGGACATGCTTTAGATGAGTTTTCATTCTGCATTCAGATTTGACGTTCATGATGCTCCAATTATTTTTAAAGTAAAAAAATAAGTATAGGGAGATAGAAAAATATGGGTGGCTTATGTGCTGATAAAATGAGGAGAGCCACCTTCCCCCCAAGCATCCAAATGAATCTGAAAAACTTAGAGCAGTGGTTCTCAACCTTCCTAATGCCTCAGCCCTTTAATACACTTCCTCATGTTGTGATGACCCCAACCATAAAATTATTTTCATTGCTACTTGATAACTAATCTTAGTATTGTTTTGCATCATAATGTAAACATCTGTATTTCCAGTGGTCTTAGGCAATCCCTGTGAAAGGGCCATTAGGAAAATATAGTCACTAACTACATGTCTGATACTGTGAAGTGGTCAGTTCTAAGCAGGACTTCTCTATCTCACTGTAAACACAAACCTGTGCAAGATGAAGGCAGCCAAAATCCCACCGTGGATGGTGGAGTTGTCCAAAGAGTCCCGCCCTTTACTGACAAGACACTAGAAATTGATGGCTGCTGTGAGGGAGTCATTTTTCTTCAGGGATGAAGCCTGCCCATGCTCTAGTAGACGACCCTACACTCCTTTGCATATAGACAGCTCTAAGTGAACTCAGTACTCTTTAAGAGAGAACATGAAAAGTTGGGATAGAAAAGTAGTTGTAGGAAAGAAGGGAAGAATTTGAAGAGTTAGGAATGGGGAGTAGATTTGACCAAAGCACACCTTATACGTGTATGAAGCTATTAAAAACTACGCATTATTAAGATAGGTAAACTTACATACTTCACAAAGTAATATTTCATGAACTGTCTGCAGTGGTGCCTACCAACCAAAAGCATTTACTGGTATGTCAGATACTGTATACTATTTCAAGAATAGGAGAGAGTCCCTCCGTTGATGTGTTTATAGTCTAGTGGCACATCAGACATACAATCTAATGCTGAAAAAGTTTAATTAATAGCAATAAGTGCCATGGCAATAGGATCAGACACTCTTGAATAGCTCAGAGAAACACCCAAGTTTGGGTAGGTCCTGGAAATCTTTGAGGAAGTAATGCTTATGTTACGACTTGAAGGACGAGTATGAACAAGGAGCTATGGGGAGATTCTAGGGAAATGGAAAAGAACAGTTTTGTGGACAAGGGCCTAGAGGCAAGAGACTGCCTTGCTCTCTTGTTTTATGAAAGCTTGGACGTGGGACTTGACTTTGGGGGAAGGTAGGTCTATGACTGGTGCTGTAGACAGAGGCCGGGTCATAAAGTGCCTTGTAAAGCACTTTTGGCATTTGGAAGTAGTCCTAATGGCACTAGGAAAGATGGAATGTGAGGGAAAGCTGGCAAAGTAACATGTGCATGGAGAGAAACAACTGAGGACGAAGATATGCAAGATAGCCGCTTACATTAAACAACTCAGGAGAAAGCGCTTAGGCTGCAGAGGATATGTAAGGCTCCGCTTATGTTTCAGTATGCCTGACGTGTCTGTCCCTTACGATAATTCACAGCTCAGATCATCCATCAGATAGAGCTGCGGACCTTGTCAAAACCATACTCAACCATGCCTGCCATGAATTCCTCCTAAGATAAACCAACAGCATTTACATGAGCTTTATACACACATAAAAAATCAGATTGTACACACATGCATCAGAGTTTAAGCTGCAGAAAGGGTGAGCAAAGGAAGGGGGTAGCATCTCCCACCCTGAGCCTCCGTGTCCAGCCCACACTCACTGGCACACCCCAAGTGGGTTATGTGATTGCTAGCATGTGTGACTCAAACAGGGACTTTCAATGTAAGTACTTTCACGTGTTTCCCCTGTCTTTTATCCATGGGAATAGAGAGAAATAGATGAGCATCTACCTGACACTTTCCTCTTCCACTCATAAGGCAAGGTAGAAATGCAACACACACCAGCACTATAGCTAACGTCAATGCCAGGAATACCAGAAAGTACTTGAGTCCTTGTTTACCAGAGCAGTGCCATGATTCCTATTTAACCGCATGACTGAGCTTAGGGTTTTTTTGTTTTTGTTTTTCCCCTGACTGATGCTATGTAATATCAACAGAAGTGACAAGTGGGAAATAGAATGTGCTCTTCTTGTTACTTTGTTTTGGTTTTGCTAAGTTTTTTGCAATGTTTTGCAATTTTTTTTTCTTTGCATTAGTGGATATCTGTGTGAGGGTGTCAAATCTCTGGATCTGGAGTTAACAGACAGTTTGAGCAGCCATGTGGTTGCTGAGAATTGAACCTGGGACCTCTGGAAGAGCAGCCAGTGCTCTTAACTGCTGAGCCATCCCTCCAGCTTTTCTTTACCCTGTGCTTTACTTTACTTTTCAGGAAGCTGGAACAGACAAGAGTGTTTTCCCACTGCCTGAACCACAAGATTTCTTTCTGGCCTCCCAAGTCAAGTTCGAAGACCTCATAAAAGATTTGAGAAAATTGAAAAGACAGCTAGAAGGTAATGGGATAATTGCAAGGGGGACTTCTTAGAACAGTTTTATTTGATGACTGACTCATAGAGTGGGCTAGTATGGAGATCCCCCATGGGCTCCTACAGCCATCATGGGACATTTCTTCTCTGGGCAGTGTTTGCAGGCAGTAAATCCAGCCATTCCTCTGATTTAGCTGTTGCTAATTTGGAGTCTCTGTGTCTTGCCATATCATTGTCTACTCCTATATGTTTGCCTGTTTGAGTTTGGAGGGGTTTGCATGCAGGTGTGTGTGGAGGCCAGACACCTCGGGCATTAGCTCTTGAGCATTGACCATCTTGTTGGTTTAGTTTTGGTTTTGTCTTTGAGACAGGATCTCTCTCTGACCTGAAATTCACCACGTAGACTAAGCTGGTTTGCCAACAGGCCCCAGGGATTTTCCTACCCTCCACCTCCTGTACTAATAAGTGCACACCACAACACCATACCAGCTTTTTAAAAATGAGTCCTCATACTTACAAGGCAAGTACTTTCCTACTGAGCTATCCTCCCCCCCACCCCCTGCTCCATGTCTGTCTTCTTCTGATATTGAAGTTACAGTTTTAATAATAATGGCTGCTTGTTGCAAGCATACCATTTCCTTATACCATTCTTATTACAACTGTGATAAGCAAGAACTATATAAGCATCATTTTAGAGATGAGAAATTTTCTTTGGTCAGAGGCAGGTGTCCTCTGCTTTGATCAGACCTATCTAATGACATATCTTATATCTTCTTTTTTTTTTTTTTTTTTTTGGTTTTTACGAGACAGGGTTTCTCCGTATTGTTTTGGAGGCTATCAGTCCAACCCGGCCTCGAACTCACAGAGATCCACGACATATCTTATATCTTCTAAGCCTATTTCACTACACATATACATATATGTGTATATAGGTATATGTATACACATATGTATATGTATAAAGATATATTTTTGTCACATATATGCACACATGCTTTAACTCTATATTTCATTTTCATACAACTCTATTGATGATAAAAACCCACAATAAATGTTCTATTTCAGTTAAATGTACAGAATCCAAAAGCCTGAAAGCCACATTTTAGGCTTTTTAGAAGGGAAAAGTATGTGTCTCTTGAGCAGGAATTTTCCTTTGGCATTTCTCAGGTCCTGCGTTTTCACTGTGGAGACATCTCTTTATCCGAGAATAGAAATACTAGCCTTGGCACTGGTGTGACTCCAATGGAGTGTTCTATGGAGACGTTAGGGAGTGTCTTAATGTAGAAATATGGCCCCCAGGTACCAGAAGGAGAGCTTGAGGAAATGAAGAGCTTCAACCAGAAATATTTTTGCACTCAAACATAAAATAAACATTTTTGAAATGTTTATTGTGAAAGAGTGCTCCAAAACTCCAGTCTTCAGTTTGAGACCAGTTTGGACATGGAAGAGGGAGAGATGTACTCACAGTGGCGGGGGAGTCATTTGTGTTTACTTTGGGCATAAAACTTGTTCAAGTAAGGATAGTCTTTACAAGTTAACACCTTTAACGTTGTAAACTATTTTTAAAGGAACGTGCTCGCTCTGTCCCACACCCACTGTTGATGTGGTAGAAAATGAGTTCAACCAAGTGGATCCTTTGTATAGGAATCTTATAAGTGAATGTGGGGTCAGTTTTTTTCTCTTTTAGGGAACTGACAGTTCTATCTTCATCTCTGATACCAGCTGAAGTTGTGCTGTAATAAAACAGAATAATAAGCCATCACATGAGTTTTCTCTATACTTCTCCAGGGGTAGAGTTAGGAGGTAGGCAACTCTCAGGACAGCAGCAAACGTTCATAGCGGGGACCAGGGATATAAGGTGTGTGTCTTCCCTTGGTGTCCATTCTTAGTCCTGTCTCTCTGCCCCTTGAGAAACCCTTGGCCTGACCCTTCATAGATGTTTGAGAAGAAACTTGATCTCTGTTTGATTTTTCCCTCTCCTGCCAGGGGCTGCCTCCCTTGACATCCTCATGGCTGTCCTTGTCCGTATGAGCCTGATGATGAATAGCAAAGGGTTGGGAGAAGACTGGAGGGGCAGGTTTCCAGGGCATCTCACTTTGTCTAGTGTCACTCTTGCCTCCCCATCTCCACTGACCATTCCCTCAGTCACTCCAAGGACCCACACAAGCTCCCAGAGCTGGTGGACCAGCTTTGGGAAGAAAGACTGAGTTATTTCCATGAAGCTGGGCTTCTCCCAGAGACACAATGTCCCACAAACACAAAGGAGAGAACTCTATCCCCGACCCCACACACATTGAATATTTAAACAAAAATGCCCTGCTAATCTTTAGAGATGCCAGTGTTTTGAACACATGAAAGGTACCCAGTAAATATTTAAAGAAAATACAGAGCCTGGGTTCTCTAATGAATTTCTTTTTCTTCTAAATGCCATCTGGTGAGATGGCCAGGATCACAGCGGTCCGTTTCATCTCCAGTTCCCATTCAGTTTCACCTCCCTTTCAATAAGGCCTTGGTGTGAACCCAGATTGAATGTTTAATTGAGAAGGACATAATTTTCACACATACAGCAAAGATTTGATGAGGCTTTGAGGTTTATTGTAGCCATTAAAATGTCGTAGCTGCTGGCCAAATCCCAGAAAATGTCTAAAGCTAAACCAGATGTGATTAGCAAGCTTCAAGTGGCGTCAGGCCCCAGGTCTCTGGACAGGCACGACACCACCCTATAGAAAGAAACATTTTGTGAGTAGCATTAACCACACCTTGCCAGAAAAGATGTGAATTTAACCTGTGACTGGAAGGCATACAAATATCACTGATGTGAGTCTCAGATTCCTGAAAGACAAGACTTGTTTCTTGTGCAAGCAAACACAGAGGGATTGATAATAGCCTCAACTGAAATATATCGTGTGATTATTATTCTTAGATTCTTTACATGCAGCATATCTTTTACCCCTCACAATGATCCTATGGAATAGGTATTACTTTTGACTCCTCACAAGATAAGGAAACTGAAGCTCTTGGTGTCATAGTAACTGGCATTTTTGGCTCAAGAGTGGTGATCCCAGCCATGCTATGGAACTGGATATGATGTTGGGACATGACTTCTGTTTCATGACACATCCTGCCTGTGGCTTAGAAGGCTTATGTTCTACCTTCATGTTCCAGTGCTACACGTACTGGCTGAGGAACCCTAGTTCCTTCTGTTGAGGGTGGACAGGACAGCCTAGAGCTCTATCTGAGACAGAGACACACTCATCCCATCCCCCACGGCATGCTTCCTTGACCTGCTCTTGTCTTTTTATCCACAGTGAGCTTCCTGGCTTCCACTAGTACCTCTACCCATTCATGTTGTGGTGTATCTAAGAGTTTCAGAATTATTTTCTTTATTATGTGTATTTCCCTTCCCTAGACTCCCACATGGAGGGAGAAACTTTTTTCAAAACTCCATCCTCCCCTATCATAGTAGCTGGCTGTTTAATTCTCTTGCTTGTTTAGATTTTAATCATGTAAGATGGCAAAGGCTTTTTCCTGTATACATATTGTAGATAGCCGAAATGTGTGGTGTACATTACTGTTAATGAAAATGTTTTCCCCTGAATTTGATATTTTTCACTATAAATGTTCAATGAAGTTTAAAAAGAAAAGAACTCAGGCTATGGAGTCAAATGTGTATTTTTTACTGGTTTGGTGAACGTAAAGTCTTATTAAGTAGTGTAACTATTAAAAAGTTATTTGGGGAGAAGGCGGATAGCTCAATGGTTGCATATATGCTTAGCATCAAAAAGGCCCTGGCTCAGTTCTAACACACACACACACACACACACACACACACACAGAGAGAGAGAGACAGAGACAGAGACAGAGACAGAGAGACAGAGACAGAGACAGAGAGACAGAGACAGACAGAGACAGAGAGACGGAGAGAGGAGAGAGAGAGAATTAACTAAAATACTCAGTTTCAGCTGGGTAGGTAGCTCATGCTTGGAATATAACTAACTACTTGAGAAGCTAAGGCAGGAGGATTGTCTGGACTTGCAGGGTTGATATCCTGGGCCACATAATGTGACATTGTCAAGAAAACAAAACAAAACAAAGCAAAACAAAACAAAACCTACTTCATTTTCTTACTGGGAAATCTGAATATATAGCACCTGAATAATAGGAAACAATGAATAAATGGTCCCGTTGATAATGACAATTAGAGATACATCCCTTTTACTGTTAAAACTGTAACTGGCTACTCAAGGGCCAGCTGGCTGTGACTGTGAAGTTCTCATTCCTAGAGTACATTACTCTTCCTTTGTGAAGCTAGAGCCAAGTCTTGATCTGATAAACATGTACGTAGTTTATTCTACACCCCTTACTCAGACAATGGTTTTGATTTCCTTGGTATTTTGACATTATAGAAAATAGTTGAGAAATGGAAAACACCATTCGTCTTTCTTATTTCTTGACCTTGTCTGCTGGCCAGGACTCTCAAGGTATTCTTACCAACCCAAATGTGGTAGGTGCAATAATGCCCCTACACAACAACGTCCAAACCCTCATTCCTTGAATCTGTGACTATGTTACCTTACATGGGAAAGGGGGACTTTGCAGAGGCTGGCACAGAAAGATTATTTGGGCCTAGCCAAGTGGAACTAATCTAATCACATGAATCTTTAAAATGAATCTTTAAAAGCTGAAAACTTTCCCTGGCTGTGATCAGAGGAGAGTATAACTACAGAGGAGTGATCAGAGGGATGCAGTGTTGCTGGCTTCGATGATGGAGGAAATGGGCAGTGGGCCAAGGAATGTATGAAACCTGTAGAACTGGAAAAACCAAGGAGCCTACTCTCCCCCGAGCTTGCAGAAGGGAATATAGCCCTGTCAATACCTTGCTTTTAGCTCAGCTAAGAGTAAGCATGTGTCATCTTCTACCATGTAGACTTTTAAGATTGTTGTCGCAAGCCACTTAATATTTGTGCTAATCTGCTATAATGGCAACAGGAAGCAGGTGCATCATGCCATGGATCTCTGTCTCTGAT